TGAGGAGGATTTTGTCACAGATCTATGAGGGTGGGTACTTCGTGATCACCATTCACTACCTGGATAACGGGTTCAGTCCGAATAGGTGCAACCGACGTCTGACTATGCAGCAGCAGGTTTACGGTACTTGCACGGTCAGAATTATTCAATTAACCACTTTATTCGAGCAGTTAAAATTACGTTTACTACCACTCGAACTTTGAAATAAAACATTATTTTGAGATTTTATCTTCTAGAACCACGAGAAAAGTGCGTTTCATAAAAAAATAGAAATTAGTTGGTCCAGTTTTGTGAAATCGCTGGTAGAAAGTCACGCCAAAACTGCTTGAGAAAGTGGTCAATGGATCACATCATTCGAGCAGTTTAAAATGACATTTTCTACCACTCGAACTTTAACGTGGAACAATATTTTAATATTTTTTCTTCTACAACCTCGAGAAAATAGGGTCTTATTTGTAAAATGTTTGAAAAATCTGGAATTGATTGTTTCATTTCCGTAAAATCGCTGGTAGAAGGTCGTCCCAAAACTGCTCGACAATATAATTAATTGGGAACACCGAGGAGGGTTCATCCCGGCGCGGACGAGATTATATGATGGGAAACCAAAGATTGTTCAGCTTTGATTGGGTAGGTTCCCGGAGAAGTTCAAGGTTTAAGGTTCAAGACACCGTCACTCAGTTTGTAATCTTCTTTCTTTTGAAATTTTGGAGGGAGGAAGGCGAAGAGAAGGAGGATCGGTTGTCAACTGGGGACTGGTTTAGGGGGATTTCAAGGTGTTTCGCTCATATTCAGGCAGATTAACGCTACCGGAGTTCGCATGTGTGATCAATTCACTGCAGTATTTGAAGAGGTCCGATTAATCTACCGGTAATGTTGTTTTTATTTGTTTCCATTAGCCAAATATTTAAAGGCCGGCGCACAATGCATACGTTTTCGGGTTTTTTGACAGATAATGCATGGGCTAGCTGTAAAAAACCTGAAAACGTCTCTATTGTGCGCCGCCTTAACAGTATCACACAGCGGTTGCACTACACTGTACACAAACATCATCCTCTGATCGAATAAAACCTCAGACCATTCAAAACAAAACACCGAAATCGCTTTTTCGAATGATAGCTGCAACCGGATGACGGTTGTTTTGAAATCAGATGATCTTCCTCTCGAATTCAGGATGAAACTTGTTATGAGAAGGGATAGGGCCTTCAGTTGAAATGCGTAATGCTCTCTGCAGAATGACTGTAATACTAAATGGAAATGCATATGGTATTGGTTCAGCCCCATAACGCAAATCATTCAAAACGATGATGTAAATAATTGTATCGAACGTCATTTGCTGATCTGAGCTGACAAACGAGGTGCAAGCATATGTATCGCTATCATATGGATGTTCATCATCTGACGACGAATTCAACCATAAGAAAATCATCCGAAATTCGAATGCATATTGTTAAAGGGCTCGAGCAATGCAATAATCATTCGAAGTATCGCGGATGTTTTGGTTCAGTGTAGGCGCGATCAAGAAACTGACAGAAACATAAACACTCTAAAACTAATTAGAGTAATATCCATCGTCTAATCGTCCATCTTTTTCCGTACTGAATACCAATGCTATCGACGCCAGGGTGGTAGCTCCCACAACTGGAACTTACCTACCGACCCATCAACTTATGGACCGGTGTACCATCGGATTTACTTCCCTACCGAAGGAAAGTGTGATGAGAGATTTTATGACTCAGAAAATCCCGGCGGCACCGACTGGGATTGAACCCAGGCCCTTGAATAGAATAATCACTTTATCAGAAGCTTTTCCAAGAACAGTCATGACTGACGCTGCATGAGTGTTTCAACGAGGTAGCGATCGGATGTAAACATAGCAAAAATAATATTTTTGGCCAGGTTGACTTTGACTTATGCTGACGTTGATGGTGTAGGTTCAAGCGTGACTGCTTTATTACCCAATGGGTCTGAGTTCAATCACAGCCGAGGTCGGTGCGATTTTTCTATGGTATAAAAATTTCTGGTCACGTAAAGCCGTTGGTCCCCGGCCCATGTGTGTTGATGGGTACGACATCCCAACAAACAATTTTAGCTGTAAACTAGCTTATACAGGCAAAAATTAGCTGTATATGCAAATTTTTGGCTGTATAAGCTAATCTACAGCTTAAATTGTTAGTTTGGATCCTACAGAGGTGTGGAAGCTTCCTCCATATACATTCAATCCTTGTCAATGGATGGCAATCGATGTACGTCGGTGATTGGCGCTAGATTGCGGAACAGAGACTAACGTTAAATCAAAGAATCTAGAAGAAGAATACTTTGACTTAGACTTGTTCATGGAATCCCGCAAAATATGCACGATATTTATTTTTTCAGTTTGAATATATCAATATCTTATCTTCAATATCTTTAAGCTACACAATGCATTAGGTTCTAAGTAACATTGCAAAATTCTCTTCCTCAACTTTCTCTTTGCATCATAACGGCCATGTTAAGATATTCCCAACTATTTTCAGTACGATCGATGAAAGAAGCTATTAAAGACTGGAACGCGCAAAAACTGGTCGACAGAAAAATCGTTTCTTTCAGTCAAAATTCATCTTATTTTTCATTTGGTAGTTCAATTTAAAGGAAATAATGTTCGTTTATTCTTTTGGTTTGCCAAATCCGAACTGCAGTGCCTTTCCCTTAACCCCTTCCATTAAATTTTGCATAATGGTCTCATCGACCTTATTCGCCGCCGAACGCCAGTTAGATTTAAACTGCTGCTCGTTTTCCATGGATTTGAGATTCCGTTTGACCAAGGCCCAATACCGCTCGATAGGGCGGAGTTCTGGGCTGTTGGGAGGGTTGTGGTCTTTGGGTATAACAACCACGTTGTTCGCATCGTACCACTCGATTGCCTTTTCCCATAGTGGCAGCTCACCAAGTCCGGCCAGAACAGCACAAGTCTATTATGTTGCTTTAGGAATGGTAGCACCCGCTTTCCAGGCACTCCTGGACATAGGTCTCTTGACAGATGGTTTCCGTAGTAATGAAAATGACGCTTTTTAGACCACACGTGCATATGGCCTGGCAGACGAGATATTTTTTCAGGAACTTCGATAGTTTGATGGTTTTGAAAATTTCAGCCACCTTCCCTTTTCCTGATGTGGTATAAAACTCCTGTTCCGGAAGCTGCTTGAAATCCACCTTCACATAAGTTTCGTCGTCCATGACGACACAGTCGAACTTTGTGAGCAGATTCGTATACAGCTTTCGGGACCGCTGCTTTGCCGATGTGTTTTGTTTGTAATCTCGGTTCGCCACCTTCACCTTCTTAAACGTCGACAACTCGGCTAGTTTCTTGGCCCGCTGCACAGTAGTATGGGAGACATTGAGTTTGCCAGTGATGTCCCGGATGGAGAGGTTAGGATTCCACTTATATTTCACCGCCACCTTCTTCTTCGTCGCTGCCACGTCCGGATTACGATTGCCGCCGCTTCCAGGCTTCCTGACGGTCGACAGATGCTCCCTGAACACTTTTAACACGTTTGTCACTGACGATTTGGCCACATCCAGCAACCATTGTATATACACTCAACTTCCAAATGCAGCATTTCAGGTTTTTTTTTATGCATTTTTAACAGAAATACACCAATTTGAAGTTGAAGTTTTCGCGTTCCAGACTTTATCTAGCTTCTAATACGTCTGACACGACAAGAAACGGTTCTGTACGAAAGAGAAAGTCGTTGAAGAGAATCGATCAATGTTACTTAGGACCTGATGCATTGTTCAGCTTGATTGCTTCAAGAGATTTACGGTTGTTGGCTTGATTGCAGTCACAATTCTTTAAAAGAAAATACCATAACAAGAACTAAGTGGTGCATCACACCGTAAATTACCTTCAAGATCAACCCGTATTCGGTATTAAAGGACCATTGATTGTTTGTGGATTTGTTTATTAGAATTACCTCTTTCTAAATCAACTTGAACAAGAACCACAAGAGAATGATGTGCTCTGCTTCATTGGAATGTAAATAAACATACGAAATCATGAAAATAAATAATTAAAGTTGCCCTAAGAAATCACTTCCACTTCACAGCAGGAATGCGGAAAATCGAACCATAAATCAGTCAGAACCAATATTCCTCAAGTCCGTACACCGCGGGAAGACGAACGATAGCAGATGGGGAATCTAACTCGACACATACACACAGAGAGAGGGACTGCAGTTAATCGATGCAATCCCTTGCACCGCTCACGTAGGCCTATTTGCAACGTTGCAAAACTAGATCACATGTGGTGTTGATTTTTGTGCAATTTGAAACGAGTTCGCCGTGGCCCTTCCTCGCATCATCCACTTCCTATCGACAGTCAATAAGAGTTAATAAATTAGACGGAGGCTGCGGCGTGCTGCATGTATTCCTAACTGTACCTGATTTATTCAGTAATTTGCACCGATCAATGAGGTACAAGAATCTGCCTCGATCGGATTTGGGGAGTGAGGGGCGCATAATGAAAAATTATGGGATCTCGCATATGCGCTTGAGTCTGTCGACGTCGGATTAGTAAAGTGCGTTCCGAATCCCAAGTGGGGATATAAATCTTCTCGGTTGAGCCTGAGCTCGCTCGAGATTGGTAGGTAGGTGCAAGCGTGTGAATTAAAAGCTCTCCCATACGGATTGTGATTTATATCGGCATCAGCTGGGCTCTCGGCTGCTGCCTCTGCTGTTGACTTTCGAAAATTGTGTCCGCTATGGTGTTGGCAAAACCGAACAAGAATGATTTACTGTATCAATGAAATCAATTTAACAGTAGCTTTTACGCATTCAATCACAATCGACGCAAAAAGCGAGATGAGATCACGCAAATCACGTGCTGGAGGATCGCCTGACGGCTTAAAGTGGTTGATACCAGCTTCTCGGGATTAAATGCGAGCCTTGGCAGGGTGCCATAAATCTCACCCTGCTTTTGATCGCACGTTGCTCCGTTGGTGGCAAACGAAAATTATAGCACTTACCTTTGGATAGGTAGCGTGTTGTAATACAACAGAACGGTTGCAATTTCGTAACAGTTGAGTCCCGACGCAAGCACCTTCTCGGCTTCGATGTAGATCAGCGGGGACCCCGAGCGGTCGTAAGTTCCTGGAAATAGACAAGGCATAAGCGACAATTAGTGGAATTGCAAATCAATGTCGAGCATTGGGGATAATTAGAGATTTGAAAATCGCACGATGGTTTCAAACAAACAAACATATACAAATGATCTACGGACGTCGATCCCGCCGTAACGATCCAACATAGTGCAATCCAAATTATCAGTTCGCATGGAATCTGCGAGATCGTGAGCCATCAACGTAACCGCGCCGATCTCGGGAATCGAATCCTCATTAGACGAAGGATGATGAACGTTCCGCGGGCTTCTATCTCCATACTTACACCATCATCAGCAGTCGAAAGCTCCGTTCGAACAGCGGAATCGCATAGATTGGTACGCGTGGTCTACCTTTTTCCTGGATATCGGCGATATGCAGCAATTCCACACGATGCAATTGCAACTTATTTGCACTCTCACTTTCTAACTCTCTGCGACACGACGGTGCAGTGCTGCGGTGGCCAGTGCATTCCTTTCCGACATTTTTCCCTCCTTTAATGAGCAAACGAAAACGCATGACTGCCCCCTAAACCGTCGTCCCTCTACTTCGTCCCAGTATGACTTCCATTCCGGCGCATTGATCGAAGGTTTCGAAACATTGTGGTACGGTTTGTGTATTCTAAATATTTTATCTATCTCACGTCGTTATTGGGGTTCGAGGGATATAGGTGCAATTGAGTTGTGTTATGTGTGAGCTGAGCTGAAGCTACAGGGAGATCGAAACATGGGGAAGTTTTGTGGGATTTGCGGGCGGTATTTGGCAGATTCCTCGTCATGTGGTTGGAAGCAGATTCGAACAGTGACTGCCGATTGACTGTGAACATAGGGGACTGCCGATTAACAACTTTCTTCGATTCAGTTAAAATGACGTTTACTACCCAAAAGTAACTAGTGTTGCTTCCAGTTTTGTGAAATAGCTGGTGTGTAATGGCAAAGCTGCTTGAAAAAAAGGCCAATTGATTGCGTTGTGGAGGAGATAGGTACACGAAAAAATGTATGTGGTCTTTGTAATTAAATTTACTATCTGTTAATTATGAACTTTAAACGAAGGATGCTCTTAAAATTGTGGCAGTCAGATTTTAAAAAATTCTGAACGTTAAAAACAAGTGAAACAGTGAAAATCACTTTTCATTTAAATAAATAAAAAAAATCATCCATGGGCGATTATAAGGTACAGACGAGGCTCGGTAGCTCAGTGGCTACCGTTTCTGCTTACTGAGCAGAAGGTAGGAAGTTCAATGATGGGCCGCAGATGTCACACAGATTCGTTGCCTGGTTCAGGACTGTTTTGTCCGTTGATTCTGAATTAGGAATTCTGTCTCATTTGAACCCTTCAGTCACTGTAGTTTTTAATTAATCCTCAACCTTTGTTCACTCGATAGAATTAATTCAAAATTTGACTGAACTTTGGTCCAGCTACCAGCATGGTATAGTGTGGACTAAAGAGACTGAATTGGGTGAAGAGGCGACATCTTATCCATTTGACAGGTCTTCTGCTCGATTGGAATAACTTTTCCTATGACTTTGACAGATAATCGATTGTTCCAATAGAGTCCGGTTGTATTGGTGCGATATGTGAGAGCGTTTTAGTGAATATTCGAGGAAAGCATAAGTGTTTCACAACGTGGTAAAAGTAACTCACTCTCTACGTTTGTGTAGTTTTCAGTGTTTGTGTTCAGAAAAATAAAAAATACACGCTAAAAAATTTCAAGTAATTTTGAATAAAAAATTAAAAAAAAAACTGTTTAAAACTACCTTGAAAATTCGCTAAGAGCTCTTAACAGGATTTCACTGGAATATTCTCAGGAATTTCCAATAGAATCATTCTCTTTCACAGAATTATTTTCAGAATTCCTCAAAAATACATTTTAGATTATCTCTGGGAGTCCCTTAGTTTATCTTTAACAGTCCAAAAATTCTCAGCAGAGCACTCCAATAAATTCATGAAATTCATCCTGAGATTCTCTTCGCATTTTTAATGAGTATTTCAAGAGTTCACTGAAGTTGAATTCAATAATTCTATTTTAAAATTTGCTTAAAAACTACTGGATTTATTAATTTCAATTCCCGGTTTTCCTGGTTTTCCGGGAGTGGGATATTTCACCGAAGGTCATTTCATCGAAGGACATTTAGCCGAAAAAATATCGCCGAATGAGTCATGTCACCGAAAGACATTTCACCGAAGGATATTTTGCCACCAAAAATTATTCTTTTTAAGCCAATTTCTTCCAAAATTTACATTAAAGTTTGGTCGGTGTTTTTCGGTTATGGTTTGACGTAAGAAAAATAAAATTTAGTCAAATTAGCGGTATGTTATTGTACTTTCATAAAAGAAAATCAAAATTACTCCGGCGGCGTTCGGATGAACTCGTGGACTTTCTTTGGAATTCTCACCATCATCTACCGCGCACACAGGACTGGTCAACCTTACCGGCCATTTCATCAGTTTCCGGGTGAATTTATCGGCGGAACCAAACTTGAATTTGCTGTTGACATCACCCCGTACTGCGACCAGATAAAACTTTTGTCCGGGAAATTGCCTGAAGTCCATATTGACATAGGTTTTTTTGCCAATAAGAAGGCATCCTCTGTACTTCGTCAGAAACCGGTCGTACAACCCGGTCCGGGCGCATGTTTTGGCCACTAAATTGTGCTTCATTGTCCTCTTCGGTTGCTTGGTGGCACGGAACGAACGGTAACTTGCTCACAGACCGATTCTCCAAAAGGTACTGCGGCTGGCACCGACCTCAACACCTTCCAGTTTAGCTGTCGATCCAAAGTTCCAGCATGACGTTTGCTTTGAACCTTCCGGGGAACAATCTTGCGATCACGGAACCGCTTGAGAACATCTCCCACGGTAGAAACAGCAAATTTTAAAATTTTTCGCGATATTCCGAATTGAACACGTCGGGTCTTGGCCGTGGGTGTCGTCTTACATCTAGTACAACTTGTTTAATACAGTACATCGAGACGCAACTTTCATAACTGAAACATGTGTATGTACTTTCAAAACTTATTGATGTCAAAACATTCCAAATCCAATTCCTAGAGGCGCTGCTGTGGAATAAATAAAGTGTCTGGATTCTAAGTTGACTAGACTTTATAGAGCATTTCCAGCCTAAAACCAAACCCATTTCTCATACGCCCGGTATTGACAATTGAATTATCAAATCAAAATGACATTTGAGAAGAAGTTGTAGGTAATTAAATGTTCATTTAAAAAAAACTACAAGGGACAGCCCTATGGAGTTGTACCAACCGGTGGAAGCTAAAGATTTTAAATTGACTCACTACTTGACTAGCCTATTGGTCCCAAGTACATCTATAAACGTACCCCATTCTAGTCGAAATTCTAGTACTACACTTTATTTGATTTAAATCGATATGAAAGTTTGACAGATAAAATGAGGGGTTTGTGGATTTTCCTATGTTTCGAGGGGTGCATTGATTAGCTTGGGACCGACGATAGTACCAGAGCTGAGCCAAAACGTTGAGCACGTTTCTTCAGGACCTTCTCGTCTTAGAGTTATCTCTATGGTTGTACGCAATGGTGGCGTAGGACTACGTGGTCTTATATAATAAATGTAATTTGTTAACTGCAGCAGGAGCTTGTGTAGGAATAGGAATTTGAGTGGGGTTTTTTTTTCTGTTTATACTTTTTAGTATGACTATGAGTGCCCTGAAAAGAACTTTTTGCAGCTGGATCAGCAAATCGGACCGGACAATCCCATATTATTCGGTTCAATGATTGGGCACTCGCAAGAGTCTTGGTCCGTCTGCTGCTGGTCAGGGGTTGAACTGGTGTCTGCGACAGGTTGGAAGGCCGCAGAATATCAGTGTCCACACAGCTAAAGCTCCTCCGCTTTTTAATTTTTCTCATTAAACTCCTTCTCTCGACATGTTGGTAAATCTGAGCCATTAGCTTAACACTTTTTCGGCGAATTTATGATCCTGTTTCACGGCATAGTTCTTCTCTATGCCTGTTCAGATAAATTAGTACATTTATTTATTTTCTCTACTGTGCTAAATCAAACGAGTAAAAATGAGAAGGGATGTAGGTTACGCGCTCGAATAGCTGGAAAAATCTTTACGATTAATCATTAATCAAATAAAATTGGACTTTTAGGCATTGGTGGTCCTTCGAAAATGTCGAACAGCAGAATTGCAACCAGTAAGTGTAACCCAAGAATCAAAAGTGGTGCGACGCTAGTTTTCATTGCAATGACGACGACTGAATTAAGGGACTTAGAAGCAGAGGAGTGAAAGTCAATTCTCTTAATCGATTTCCTCTTTTGATGACCATGGCTTCGCTAACCTATTCCGCACAATTTCTGCTATGCTCTTCTATAATCCAGCAAAAACAAGCATATTAATGAATGTGTTTGCCGTCGAGTTATTTACGAAACAGAAAGTCGATGAAGAGAATCGATCAAAATCACTTGCACCTCTGCTTCCAAGTTTGGCTACAAGATTACAACTCTGGAGAGCATTTTGTGTGTTCGTTAGGGGCGTGTGGTTCTGAATATGGCGATGAGTGTATTTTGCAATTGCATCCTCCCTATTCACACACGCCCGAAAATCGGAGGTGAATGCCACTTCGACTTGTTTCGTCTACTAACGACTCTCTAATGACAGTGTTGGGGAAGCAGCAATGTTACATCGATATGTTTCGACTAGAAACGATTATCTGATAACTGTGTTGGGGAAGCAGCATATGCATGTCCGTAATTGGTGGATTTGTTAGTTATTTCGACGCTTTTGGACAATGCATGACATTCACCACTTTTCAATAGTTTCTTGTTGAAAATAAACAATCAGAAGCATTGCTTTTGGTGTGTAAAAATATTGCTGGTCGATTGGTGATAAAATTATTGAAATTAGCTGAGTTACTAACGTTCAAAATCTTTCATAATATCGTTACATGTTCAATTTTCGGTATTCACTAAGTGTACTGCCATATAGAAATCACAGGCGTAGTCCTTTGACAAAA